AATACTATATGCTATACCTCATTTGCTTGAAATTACACAGATAATATCTGCATATCAAAGTCTGAGAAATCCTGCAGTAAAGAAACCTTTTATTTTTATAAAACTTGGTTTACCTTATTGTTTCCAAAATTTGGGGGATAAGTAATGTCTGTAAGCTTCCAGGAGAAAATACTTTGGAAATTGCTGCTTGTAAGTATTAAAAACACTACTAGTAGCAGCAAAATCAACTTACGAACTATATGCCTCTAACATAGGAAACTTTATGGGTGAATAAAAAATTGCCCTATAATTGAATTTGTCCTGCCTCTGAATACTGTATAGCCTAGTTGCTATGCTCTTGAAGGTACATATCTGTAGCATATTTTCTTTGCTAGAGGTAAACTCAGTTTTGAACTAAAGACTAGTGGCTTGATTTATCTGAAGACTTGTTAACCTAAAACTTATATTCCTTATGAAGTCATTATTTTACAGACCAATGCAAAGATAAAACAGGTTTTCTCATGTGACCATGCCATTGTGATTAAAAGATTATTTGGCAAGAAATGAGAGAGCTTTTCTGGGGGGAATTTTAAACTATAAAGAATTTTGTAACTACTAAAACTCCTATATTTCCTATTCTGGAAATTTTTAAAGCCCTTAAATTGTTTTACTGAGGCAACTTCTCCAAAATGGTACACTGTAATAAATTATATTTTAAAAAGGAAACTTAGAACTGAAAATTTTTTTTAAAGAGAGAGAGAAAGAGAGAGAGAGGAGAGAAGAGAGAATTTTTTAATATTTATTTTTCAGTTTTTAGTGGTCACAACATCTTTATTTTTTTATTTTTTATTTTTTTTTTAATGTGGTGCTGAGGATCGAACACAGTGCCCCACGCATGCCAGGCGAGCGCCTCACCACTTGAGCCACATCCCCAGCCCATAGAACTGAAATTTTTTACTTTCAGTGTTCCTTTTGTCCTTTCTTCAAAAACTGAGTGCTTAACAGAATGTTATGGGAAGAATTTTAGTGTGAAAGAGTACTTGTTGAAAAATGAACATAACACAGAAGATGTTAGTTGCAACAATTCTTGTGAGAATAGAAGAGACAGGACTTAGCAGCTGGTTTAATGTAAAAATCAAGCACCAGAAWGCAATGATCATGAAGTTGAAGTATTCAACCTGAATGATAGATAAGATAAACTTTCTAAATCTAGTGCCTGTCTGCTTGGAAAAATCATCACATAAAATCACTCTCTAGGGCCTGGCGTTGTGGCTCGGTGGTAAAGCGCTTTCCTAGCATGTGCAAGGTACTGGGTTCCATCCTCAGCACCACATAAAAATAAATAAATAAAGGTATTGTGCCCATCTATAATTAAMAAAAAATCACCCTCTAGTACTTTTTAGCATTTTATTTCAAACATGTTTGAAAGGTAATAGCACTTTGGGGGCAGATCAATATGGTGCATTACTCTTGTAGCCCATATATGGAAGCACTGGGACTATCAACTCTACCAATATGAACYACACAGAGGCTGGGAATCTCTCTAGCAGATGTAGTTCACTGTAACAATTGTAATCAAAGATACTCCAAAGGAGTAAGATTTGGCATGTGGTTATGATATGAATCAGAGATAAGGTGACATTGAAGTCAATGTGAGATAATTCAGTAAACAGCATGTAAAGTAAAAGTGTACATTTAATTGGGTCTACTAAAAGCCAAGAATAATCTTAGAAGAAGGGTTTATAAATATTGCTAAACTGGATAATAAGTAAAAATGATTTATACTATAAAATATTAAATTTCAAAGCATTATCTTAACATCTCTTAAATTCATAGACTGTTTTGAATTTCCTGCTTATTTTTAAGTTTCTCACATAGTTTCAATGCAAAAGCCTGCTACTGTAGAACATACATGAAATAAAGCCAGTATCATTATGTAATTATTATATAAAACAATCTGGCAACTATATAGAAGAGACAGTAGTACCCTTATGTGATAAATCCTTTCTGGAAAATTTTGATTCAGAACATCACCTTATCATCTCCTGGAACAAACTTTATTTTATCTAACAACTTTCTGGGTTGTTTCTTTTATCACAACACTATAATTTTGCTTTGAAAAGTAGGAGCATGAAATTTTCTCTTATATTTTAGACATTGTATTCTTATAGGAGAATTATTAGAAACAAAAATAATTTTAGGATTTACAAGTAAAAGTCAACATCTATAATAAAAAGTTATATAAAAGTGAAATTATTTTTACTTAATATTGAGTTATAGTGTATTGGACCTTTTTTTTAATAACTATTCCTTTTTGTGGAGTGTTTAAAGAGCAGCTTTAAGAAATGACAAGTATGTTCTATTTTGTTTTGGTCAAAGTAGGCTAATGGTTATTTATTGAAATGGTCATCTACTCTTCAGGCTGTCTTTTAATGGTACTCTAGGGCATTTATTAGTCTCATAAAAATGTGGGTAGGTTTATCTCTTCCAGGAATTTCAGTCATCCTTTTGTCATGTTGAGTTTGTTTGTAATCCATGAAGAATATGATTCATTAAGTGTGGAAATCTTTGGTTAATTCATACTCATCACATTTTTATTATTTCTAAGGATTCCAGAAAACAACCAACCTAATTTTAGTTTTTGCTTTGTAATAAATGAAAATCTTTCAAGAGTAGATGGGCCTTATTATATATACAGAAAGTTCTCTTTGGTTATGTATATTCAATGAACAGTTAAGTCTTGGTTATATTGCATTCTACTCAAGACTAAATAAGATTCTAAAGGAAAATGAAAATATAGTTCTTGGCCTCAGTAAGTAAGGAGAAAAAGACTTCCCTTGGTAAAATATCCAGAGAACTATTCCCAGAAAAGTATTCCTACATTTATGCACTGAACAAATAGTAAGTATCAATGGTGAACCTAGCCTCTATTTAGGAAGTCAGAAGTCACTATTGAACAACAACAACAAAAAAAACCCAGAAGTCCCATCTTTTAGGGAACATATTCTAGTGGGGGAAACAGACAAACCAAAACCCAAGATAAATAAAATGGATAATATGTTGTTTAGTGATGWGTATCATGGAGAAAAATAAAGAAGGAAAATAGGATTCCAGAGTGTTAGGGCATTGCATTTTCCAGTCCATTGGTCACCAAAGTCTCATCAGAGCAGAAGTCTAAATGAAGGAGACGAGGGACATAACCATTGAGATATCTTAAAAAAGTATTCAGGCAAAGAACAAGCAAGTCCATAAATGTGTAGATGGATACATGCCTAATGTATTTGTAGGCAGCAAKGAAACAAAGTAGAGTTAAAGAATAAAGTAAGTTAATGTGACTGCTGGGGTTGTGGCTCAGCGGTAGAGCACTTGCCCCTGGGTTCGATTCTTAGCGCCACATTAAGATAAATAAAATAAAGGCATTTCATCCAACTACAACTAAAAAATAAATATTTTTTAAAAAGAAGAATAAAGGAAATGAAGGGAGGCTGTTGTAATAATCCAGACAAAAGATAATGGTAGCTCCAAGTATTATGGTAGCAATGGAGGTGGTAAGAAATCAGGATTTCTTGACAGTTGGATATGGTCTATGAAAGAGGGAAATCAGGACTTTTGGTTTGCCTAGTGAAAAAAGGAATTGCCATTAATTGATAGACAGCTGAAGGAGGATAAGTTTAGGGAGAAAGATTGGAGCTATGTTTTGGATGTTTGTGATGTCTGCTTGTCATTAACTGGAGGCAGCTGGATATAGCATTTTGTGACATTTTGGGGAAAGGTTGGCAGAAGAAATAAATATAAGCAAGTTTTATATATTGGTGAATGATGCTGGAAAGTAAGAGAAAGAAAAAAAATAGGAAAGAAGGGCTTCAGGGAGGAAAGTAAATGTTAAGATGGACCTTTGATTTGTATAAAGGAGTAAGAAAGTAATTCTATTTAGGGAAAATGTCCAAGAATCTTAGAGCATCTAGTACTAAATCTGAATGCTTTACTGCCTTGCCCCTTACATTTCATAAAACTTTCACTGTGATTGAGTACTATTGAACAACAGATACACGGCAAATATTTGTTGAGTCAAAAATGAGAGTACTATTTTTCCAAGTTTATTGATCAGTATTGAGTCATTAAAACTTAGGGGATTTTTTGTTTATTTATAGATTTTTGTTTTCATTTTTTAGTACTGGGCAATGAACCCAGGGCTTGCTGTGCAAGGGAGGCAAGCACACCTACCACTGAGCTACATTCCCATCTGGAAACAGATTTTTTTTATTGTTGTTTTATTATTGTTTAGGACTTTCTTTTTTATTGAGTTAAAATCTACCTTCGATTTATCATTTTAACCATTTATAAACATGCATTTCTATGGCATTAAGTACATTCTGAAACTTATTTTCTGCACAAACATGTTCTCTCAAAATATTAACACTGTTGTTTATGTGCTAAAGCAATTTAGAGCTCATTTCTCTTTACTCCCAAGAGCATTGAATATTCTGTAAGCCTTAGAATTCTCATTTGAAAGATTGGGCCAAGTTGAAAAATAAAAGCAAAAATGAATGCCTTATTTCTAAAAAAGATTTTTTTCTTCTCTTGAAAGCTGACGTCCCATTTATGTGAAAGTCATTTTTAATTGTTTGGGTACTACTTAAAATAATTTCAACTCGTCTTATTGAGTTTTTATTACTGACATCTGAAAAAGGAAATGCAGAAGGCCAACACACAGACCTATAATCCCAGCTACTTGGGAGGCTGAGGAAGGAGGATTGCTGGAGCTCAGGCGTAATAGACCAGTCAGGGAGACTGAAGACCCTGTCTTAGGGAGGGAGGGAGGGAAGAAGGAAGGAGAATCTGGAGCTTTTCAAAAATGAAATAACTATCTCTTACTTTATAATTTCTTTGTGAATTATATAAACTATATTTTGTAATTAATTTTGGATTCTTATAAATTATTTGGAAGGTGTGTGCAACATCTAATTTTTGTGAATAATGAACTAAGAAAATTCTGTTGATTGCAATGTTGCTTTTTCTAGGGAACAAAGAAGGAAGAGATTGAAGGTGAAGAGGAAGTAGCTGGTTTAATTCAGCCTGCAGAAGTATTTGCTCCCAAAAGCCTGGTGGTGGTATCCAGATTAGATTATCCAGAAATTTTTAGGGTAAAGAACTCCTAGTTATTGTTATTAATTTATATCACTGAGTAAATTACTGTTTTGAATGAACCAAGGCAACAAGTTCTTTGTATCAAAAATATTGTTAGATTGATTTAGTGATTCATCAATTAGAGTGAACAGAATAAATAAATTCATGTTGGATCAAAGGAATACCTGAGTAAGTTAATGTGACTGTACTCTTAAGGATGTAATGTTTGTTTAAAACAGGTTCCATGTTAATCAAGCCAAAATGTAGAAATCCTAAGGAAATAATTTGTTTATCTGTAGAAAATTTAAAATACATTAATAATTTAACAACCTTGTATATGTTCATTCAGTTTATTAGGAGTTGAGTTGAAATAAGTAAAATTACTTGGGATTTCAGTTAATTTTGATCATACTACTGCCAGTGCACCTTTAAAATATTGTTTCCAGATTTTTTAGATACTCAGAATTTTCAAATGTAAGAAAAAAATTTAATCTTTAATAAATATGTATAGTAATATGTAACTTCTGAAAAACTCTTCCAGAAGGTGAGATTATATATTCTACAAAAATTAACTTAGTGTTAAGATTTCAGTGACAATCAGTAACTCCTAATTATTAACTTTTTGGTCACACATTTCAGTAAACTGAAAGATTCATAAAGATCACATTTTATCTTTCATTTTACTACCTACTTTCTGCTGAGCTTAAAGTGTTAATTATATCTTGCCTATAGAATACAACTGACACTAGGATTGCTATATGTATACACATGGACGTATAACCAGTGTGATCCTGCAATCTGTACATGTGGAAAAATGAGAATTCATACCCTATTTGAATCAAATGTATGATATGTCAAGATCATTGTATTGTCTTGAGCAACTAATAAAAAAATTCTTATACATTAAATTTCCATTGAATAAATGTTCTGGATTAATAATGAATACAAAGCAAGCAAAATGTCTAAATTTTATCTTGAAATCTGGAGTTTCACAAAGTAAGTTGAAATAACAAGTTAAAACAGTATGGCAAAAACAGTGTTAGCCCTGCAAATTGTCTAGAATAGTTATCTGAGTATAGATAAGACACCTGTTTTATAAATGGGGCTTTCTGCTTTCTATAAACTCATGCCAGAAGCTCATTTAGAGGTTCTGGTCCTAGAAGGAAATTTAATAAACTTTAATAATATTTGCTGCTTAAATTTATTTCACATTCATTGTAGACTATACCTTACTTGGTTTAAAGAAAAGTTTTTGTAGAAGCTAATGTCACAACTATTTGTTTCTTGAACTTTTTCCATGATGTAACTACATGTATCTTTCCCTTTGCAGGCTTGCCTGGGTTTGATCTATACTGTGTATGTGGATAGTTTGAATGTCTCCTTGGAAAGTCTCATTGCAAACCTTTGTGCCTGCCTTGTTCCAGCAGCTGGAGGGTCTCAGGTAAATAGAATAGAAGGAAGATGGAGACTGTTCCTCTTCCCCTCCAGTTAATTTAGTTTTTGAAGAAAGGAAAAGAAAGAAGTCTTCAAATATTTTTATTTTAATGAGTATCCTAGTTTAATTAAGCATTGTCTCTATAGTCTCCTCCTAAATACTCAGGATTTCATTGTTTTCTTAGGCCATGAGGTAATTTTAACACAGGGTTCACCTTTCACATAGCATAATTATTAGTCAGATTTTGTGTAACTTGAACTCTAGTTTATATTTTGGGGGGCATATAGTTTTTAGGCTGAACTCTTAAATATGCTCTTTCTACCTTTCTTACTTGTGTGTATAACTCATTATTAACTTAAAGAACGTTTGAGTTGATAATCTTTGTAATATTGTAACTACTTCTGAATAGATTTCTTTAGTCTGTATGTCTTGAGATTTTTTTCTATGTGTCTGAAGTAGAATTTTAACAGTTATGATTTATTTATTACGTTTGTAAAAACCATGCTTTTGGGGGGGGTACTGGGGATTGAACCAAATCACATCCCCAGCCTCTTTTTAAATTTTGAGACAGGGTCTCCTAAATTGCTTAGAGCCTTTCTAAGTTACTAAGGCAGGCTTTGAACCTGCAATCTTCCTGCCTTAGTATCCCAAGCCACTGGGATTATAGGTGTGCACCACCAAGCCCAGCAGCAACCATACATTTCAAAGAATAAACCTTGGGTTATGGAATGTAGCTCAGTGGTAGAGTGTGTGCTTAGCATGCATGAGGCCCTAGATTCAATCCCCAGCATCCAAACAAAAAGAATATACTCTTTTCCTTAAACCCTAAAAATGATTAGTTGAACATTTATTTTTCCTGCTGCTTATATATTATTGGGGAAACCTGCTAAAAATCACACTGTTTGTGCTCAATCTGATTAAGATGTTATGTATAGTGAAATTGGAATACTTTTTTCCTTACTTACCCTTTGTCTTTTAATTGTCCTCTGTCTTTTCCTGGTATCTTTTGTCTTAAATTGTCTCCCTCTTTTTGTCCCCCTCCTACTCTCTTCTTCATCTCTATTATAAGGGCAGAATATTAAATGTGAGTTTGGTCACAGATGGCCTAAACTTTAAAGAAACAGAATTGTCTTATGACAACAACTAAAGTTGTTGTTAAGAAAGATTACAAAGAGACATACAGAAAATTTTTGAATGAAATTTGTATATATAATCTTGATTGTGTTGATGGTTTTTCGGGTGCTGATGTGTGTCAGAATATACAAAAAAACAAGTATGGTTATTCCAAACACTTTTATTTTTTAGTCAGTGATGATTGTCAGTGATATTTGTGTCTCATTTTTACTAAATTTGAACTTTTAACAATTTTCTCATACCATTTTTAGTTATACACAAAGTATCTTGAATGTTTTAATTTATATGTTATTGCCTTTGCATCTATTAATTGGCTCTTATGTGGTCATTTGCTCTAAAATTGAACTTCAGAGGGATTTTTATTTTTAGAAAATATCAGAAATTAATTTGTATTTGTGTGTTTCTCCAATTCTGCAGAAGCTGTTTTCCTTGGGTGCAGGAGATAGACAGCTGATTCAGACTCCTTTACATGATAGTCTTCCTGTCACAGGCACTAGTGTGGCTCTTCTGTTCCAGCAGTTAGGTATGTCTTTTCTCCCATTTTCAACGTCTTCTTATAGAAGCCCATGAAGAAGATTTTTTTAAAGTTTATATCATCTGACATTAATCAATAATATATAAAACAAACTATTAAATATTTCCCTGCTTTCGAGTGGGACAGGAGAAGAGTATAGAGCTTGCTTCCCAAGTTCTGGTCTTGGAGGAGGCTGCCTGAGGGACTTGTTTCTGTGTCACTTCATTGGTAGCGTGAGTAAGAACTAGCATGTGTGGATATCTGGAAGCATCTGAGAACAAATAAAGAGCATAGGGGGATTCTTGCTATTGCTTACATAGCTTTGTRCCTTTGTAAAAATTCACACAATTTGAGGCTTTTACCTCAAGAGGAAGAAAGAGGCATATCCAGTTTTCAAGCTTTTCAGAGATTTACTTGAGTATTGGAGAAGATACAGAAGAATTGGAACCATTATTCATTGCTAATAGGAATGTTAAGTGGCATAGTTACCTGGAACATGGTTTTACTTTTTATTTTTTAAGCTAAACCATATGATCTTTCTACTCCTAGGCATTTACCCAAGAAAAATGTATATGCCCTTAAAAGTATTTGCACGTGAATGTTCATAGTCATTTTCTTTGTGGTAGTAGAAAATTGGAAACAAGTTCAAAGTTCACCAGTGGTAATGGATAATTAAGAATGGAAATAGATATAAAAAAATCTGCAGTGTATCCATTCAATGAAATGCCAATGCAAAGGAAAGAATGAATTATTAATATATGCAGCCACATAGTATAACCTGAAAATAATTATGTTGATTGAAAACCACCAAACAAAACAGAATTTATACTTTACAAGTCAGTCTCTGTTCTAAAATGTACAGTCTAATCTGTAGTGACAGAAACAGATCTCTGGTTGCCTTGTGAATAGAAAGAGAAAAATTACAAAGGGACATACAGAAAATTTTTGAATTAAATTTGTATTCATAATCTTGATTGTACTGATGTTTTTTCGGGTGTTGATGTGTGTCAGAATATATAAATTCTATCCAGATGTGATGATGCATGCCTGTAATCCCAGCAATTTGGGAGACCAAGGCAGGTGGAATCCAAGTTTGAGGCTAGACTCAGCAATTTAAGGCCCTGTCTCAAAATAAAAAAGATGAAGGGCTGGGGATATGGGTCAGGGGTAGAGTGCCATAGCACCCCTCCTCCCATAAAAGTATCAAATTCTAAAAGAAAAGTGAAAACATACTCATTCAAAAACTTGTATATGAATATCCTTAGCAACATTAATACATAATAGGCAAAAATGGAAACAAGCCAGACATGGTGGCTCATGCCTGTAATTCCAGCAGTGTAGGAGGTTGGAGAATTACAAGTTCAAATTCAGCTTCAGCAACTTAATGAGACTCTGTTTCAAAACAAAAAATAAAAAGGGCTGGGATAAACAATATCCACACATTTGAAACTTATTTAGCCATAAAAAGTAATGAAGTATTTTTGACACCTATTATCATGTTGATGAATCTTGAAAACATGTCAAGTGAAAGAAGCCAAATATAAAGACCACATATTATATGATTCTATATGAAATGTCCAGAATAGGCAAATCTATATAGACAGAAAATAGACTAGTAGTTATCAGGGGCTGGAATAAGGAGGCAATGGAAATGACTGCTAATGGGTACAGGATTTCTATTGGGCAGTGAAATTGTTTTAGGTTAGATATTAATGATGGTTTATAATTTGGTTAGTTTTGTTCCCCCATACCTCCCTTTCTTTCCCCCTTCATTCCCCACTAAGGAGCCATTTTAAAGAGGCTTGATCTAAGCCAGGAGCTGTGACACACACCTGTAATCCCAGCAACTCAGGAGGCTGAGGCAGGAGGATCAAGAGTTCAAAGCCAGCCTCAGCAAAAGCAAGGCACTAAGCAACTCTAARTAAAATACAAAATAGGGCTGGGGATGTGGCTCAGTGGTTGAGTGTCCCTGAGTTCAATCATCAGCACCCTCTCCCTAAAAAAAGAGGCTTGATCTAAGATGGTATTATAATTGCAGTTGAAACCCAGCCAATATTTTGAATTGCTTGAATTCTTAATATTGAAAAGGATTTGTCACCTAAGAATATGACAGGGAACCAGTTTGTTATCTTGAAAACTTATCAATAAAAGAAAAAAGTCATGGTAACCTAATAGTAGATGAGGATAATTGTATTATAATTAATAAATGTGGAAAATGATGGAGTATCATCATTTTCAGCTCTCAATAAATGAAGATCTAAGCATCAACATGTGTGATCTAAGCATCATAAAAAGAAATTAACAGATATTAAGTGCCTATTCTTGCTACACACTACACAAGGAATTACCAGAATCTCATGACAAGAAATGACAGAAGGTAGAAGATCACATTGCATTGTACCAAAGAATTTAATTATCAAAACTATCATTCAACTGCCCTGGGTTTTGTTGTTGTTGTTGTTTTCCCTTCTCTAATTCATTTTGCTCTGGGTTTTTTAACAAGTAAAKTATGAAGAAAAAAATGGAAGAAGAACCTCTAGAATAAAAGAGCTTTAAAAGATACACAGTTTTTTAAATAGAGTAAGACTGAACTGTAGTGCCTAAGAATGTACTTTTGGATAATAAAACTGCCTGTAGAAAATTTTAGGAAAGTGGTTAAGCCCAAGTCTACTTATAGCAACAGAGGGGTTATGATTGGGAAGCAATTGAAAGAGGCTTTTGGAGTTGGTGACAGAGTTCTATTTCTTAATATAGGTAGTGTTTGTAAGATACTTCATTAAGTCATTAATTTGGTATGCTTTTCTCTGTATCTTTTATTTTAGAATAAAAACTTAAACTGTAAAACTGCTTCTTTATGTGTAACTTTCCTTAAATTAAGATAAACTTTTAAAATACAATGGTTTAGCTATTGTGAATTGTGCTGCCATAAACATTGATGTGACTGCATCATTTTAGTATACTGATTTAAAATCTTTTGGRCATATACTGAGGAGTGGAATAGCTGGTGCATTTGGTGGTTTCACTCTTAGTTTTTTGAGGGATCTTTGTACTACTTTCCAGAGTGGTTGTACTGATTTGTAGTTCTATCAACAATATATGAGTATACCTTTTCCCCCATGTCTTTGCCAACCTTTATTCTTATTTATGGTCTTAATAATTGCCATTCTGACTGGAGTGAGATGAACTCTCAAAGTAACTTTGATTTGCATTTCTGTGATTGCTACAGATGTTGAACATTTTTTCATGTATGTGTTGACCATTTGTGTGATCAACCTAGGGGCCTTTGACAGATGAATGGATAAAGAAAATATGGTGTATACACAAAATGATGTATGATTCAGCCATAAGGAAGAATGACATCATGGCATTTGCCATTAAATGGATGAAACTGGAGACTGTAATATTAAGTGAAATAAGCCAGTCCTAAAAGTGAAATGTCAAATGTTCTCTCTGTTATGTGGAAGCTAATCCAAAATGAGTGGGGGAGGGAATAAAAAAAATACAATGGCTTCAGATTTTATCCTTCTCATATTACAGAGATTCTAGAGGTAGGCAGTCTAGGGCTGGTATATATTAATTCCTGGGTATCTTTCAGATGRTGTGGAAAGTCTATCCTGTGCTTTCCCCCTTTTTATCTATAAGAAATTTCCCCTTATGAGATGATGAGTTTCAAAAGCTACTGTCTTATTATGTGTCTACTATCTGGCACAGTGCTTTAGGCACAAAAGTCATCAATATTTATTGAATAAATAAATGAATATGCTCACCATGAAAAATGGTAATCATATCTCGTAAGTATTTTGGAGACTGGGGATAAAGCTCAATAGTAGAATTCTTGCCTGGCATGCACACGGCCCTGGGTTCAATCCCAAGTACTGCAAAAACCAACCAACCAACCAAACAAACAAACAAAAAATCGGTACAAATGAAGAGTGCCAGAATACAAGATGATTGTTCATTTGAAGATCAAATTTAGTTATTTTACTCTCTAGTATTTTGAACTTAATTATCCTTTCGATATATATTCTAAATTCTTTTTTAGGGAAAGACTAGAAAAAAGATAAGGAAGGAATACAGAAAGAAAGAGGAATCACTATATGCAGAGTTTTATTTTTCTAAAGCATGTGGTGATGCTAATTCTGGCTAGGTCATTCTCTTATCACCATTTTTGGTTAGGCTGTTCATTGTTGAAGGCCAATATTAGACCATTATCAGAGTAGCCTCCTGGGTTTAGGGTAAAGTGGTAGTGGTGGAATTTACCAAGCCTGAAAAGGAAGCAGATAAGACTTCAGTATTCTTTTGTAGCCTTGACTTGTTTTCCTATGAAAGGTCTAAATGTAGAGATAGCATTTCCTTTGTTCTTCTCTCTTAGAATTGTTATGATAATGATTTTTTTTCACAATTTGAAAAGTCTTTGTGTTTGCCTGAAATAGCTATGTGGAATACTACTATTCTGAGCCTCACTCCCCATAATTTTCTGTTAATCTTCTTCATCTCTTGCTTACCATCTTGTTTGTTTTCTTGTTGAAGCCTGTGTAAAGTATTTTTGATTGATTAAAGTGTTTTTTATTTTTAATGTTATTAAGTTTGTATTCACAGGAATTGGTTTTTATAGCCCCTCTGATACTTTAATCCATACCCATTTAACTTCATTATCCGTCCCTGACCTAAATAATTTTGTAAGATTCTCTTGATATCCTTTGTCATGTCTGGTCATCAATAATTTGGACTTTAATTGCAAACACACTAGTTTTCGAATACTTATTCTCCAGTTTTTACAGTATACTCTTTATTAGACGTTTTTAAAATCACTGACAAAAATGGTCTGGGCCTTCATCTATCATCACTCTATTTCCATAGTTATATCATATTAGTCTTTGTACCATCTGGGTTGATTCTTTTGTGTATGCTTACTTTGTTTTTGTGTGGCCATATAATTTTAGCCAGTTCTTCATTAGCTACCATTGGGCCAATAATTCTCCAGTAATTCTCTGTGATACTAAATACAT